GCCCGTCGGCGGCGACGGCGGGCCGGCGACGCCGCCGCGGTCCCGCCGGACCTCGCTGCGCGCGGCCGCGCGCACGCCCGCGATGCCCGTCGCCGCGCCGTCGCCGGCGGCGGCGCCGGCGGGCCGCTCCGCGGCCGCGCAGCGCTCGAGGCCGGCGGCGGCCTTGGCGCCGACGTCGGGGAAGGCGCAGTCCGCGCCGATGCGCGCCGCGAGCTCGAAGCACTCGCGCGCGGACGCGACGAGGGCCGCCGCGTCGTCGCCGGCCGCCGCGGCGGCCGCCGCGGCGTTGAGGTAGGCCGTGCCCGCGTTGGCCATGTCGCCGCCCTGGGCGCGCGTGTCGCCGATCTTGCCGTTGGCCTCGAAGGCGCGCGCGTGCCACGTGACGGCCGCGCGGGGGTCGCCGCGGCAGTCGAGCGCGCAGCCGAGCGCGCCCGCGAGCACGGGCTGGACGCCCTTGCGGATCGCCGGGTCGCCGATGGTCCGCACGAGCCGCAACGCGCCCAGCCAGGCCTCGGCGGCCTCGTCGTAGCGCGCGGCGCCGAAGAGCTGCTGGGCGGCGACGTGGGCCCGCTCGACGTCGGCGACGAGGGCGCCGTCGTCCTTCGCCGGCGGCGCGGCGCCGCCGCCGCCGGCGGCGACGTAGGCGCCGTTCTTCGCCCGCGTCCGCACGGGCAGGCCGTCGCGGTCCTGCAGGGCCGCCATCGGTGGCGGTGTTAGCGCGGCCGACGGTTACATTAGCGTGGAACGGATCCGAGACCGGCCGCCGGGCTATTATGCGCGCGCGCGCGCCTCGCTTAACGCCGCGCGCTTCCGCCGCCCGCGCGCGCGCCTCGCCGCGCGCTAGAGCGTCCCCATGGTCTGGCCGGTCTTGGCGTCCCAGTCGACGAAGTCGCAGGGCTCCGGGCCCGCCGCGGCGACGGTCCTCGCGGCGACGTCGAGCGCGAGGACGACCATGCTGTCGCAGTAGTGCGCCTTGTCGAGGTCGGCGGCGTAGTCCCAGGACCGGTACTGGATCGCGAGCTTCGCCGGCGCGCCCGGGAGCGCCGCGGCGCGCGGGGCCGCGAAGGCGAGGAACGCCTCGCAGCGGTCGTAGGCCGGCGCGTCCGCGCACGCGTTGAGCCCGTCGGAGAGGCGCTTGCGGTTGAGCACGGGGCTCAGGTCGTGGGGGTGCCAGTCCGGCCCCCGGTGGCCCGCGGCGTCGTAGGTGACGAAGCGGTGGTACGTCGCCGGCGGCGCCTCGTAGGTCGCGAACATGCGGAAGCCGTTCCAGGGGAAGAACTCCGCGCCGGCGACCCAGACGGCCGCGAAGGAGCCGAGGAGCAGCGCCGCGGCCCGCGCGCCGTCGCGCGCGGCCCGGGACGGCGGCCGCGGCGCGCCGCGGCCCCCGCCGAGGAGCGCGGCGCCGTCCGGGTCGCCCGTCGCGGCGCCGGCGGCCGCGGCGGGCCGCGCGCCGCGCGCGGCCGCGAGCGCGCGGCCGAGGTCCCAGGGCCCGCCCGACGCGCCGTCGACGGCGTGCGCGAGGTACCAGGCGGGGATGAGCAGGAGCAGGTCGATGAAGAGGATGTGCTGGAGGAAGAGGATGCCGACGTGCATGGTCCACATGACGGCCGGGAACGCGAGGCGCGGCGCGTCGCCAAAGGGCACGAGGCCCATGGCGATCTCGCCGAAGAGGCCGCAGGCGCCGAGGAAGGTCCAGAAGGGCTCCGGGACGTGGCGCAGGCGCAGGGATAGGAAGCCGCGGAAGAGGAAGTGGCGCCCGTTGAGCGTCGTCGCGAGGAGCTTCGTCTTCAGGTTCGTCCCCGACCTGTGTGGAATTCAAATATTCAACCCGACTTCAATGTGCGCGTAATCGAACGGTTTGGACCAGACTCTTTCGCTGTGCTTCGAGAACTCGACGAGAGCAATCGATTCGTCCAAAAATCAGCCGAATCGACTTCGAATTGACCGAGCTAGAGAGTTCTGAAGTTTGGTTGGGATAACCCAGCTCACTGTTTGATTTCCACACAGTCCCCGACGCCCAGAGCGCGCCGGACGCGCAGAGCTTCGTGAGGCCCGCCATGAGGTAGTTGTTCGCGAGGACGAGCGTCACGAGGAACCGCGTCCAGCCCCGGCGGTCGCCGCCGCCGCGCGGCGCGCCGCGGCGCCCGAGCAACAGCCGCGCGAGAAAGCCGTCGACGGAGAGGCCGCGCGCGCCGCCGCGCCAGGAGAGGATCGCGAGGCCCCACCAGGCGGCGATGAAGGAGTGGCCGCGCCACGTGTTGTAGGCGTGGAGCACGCCGCCGTAGAGGAGCCACGCGCCGCACGCGAGCGGGCAGCTCACGGGCGTCGCGACGCCCGCGGCCGCGGCGACGAGGAGCGCGCGCGTCGCGCGCTCGAGGCCCCGCAGGGCCGCGGCGTCGGCGCCGGACGTCAGGGCCCGCGCGAAGGCGCCCGCGGCGTGGCCCGCGGGCGCGGACCGCGCGAGGAGGCCCAGGACGCCCGACGGCTTGCACGTCCACCGCGGCAGCGCGGCCGTCGCCTCGAGCGGCGCGGTCATGACGTCGGCCGTGAAGAGGAGCAGGATGCCCGCGCAGGCGATGCGCAGCACGCCGAGGCTCGCGGGCGACGCCGCGCCGACGTGGCGCGCGTGGAACGCGTCCGCGTCGCGCGGCGCGAAGCGCGCGAGCAGCGCGACGACGAGGCCGAGGCACGCGGCCCGCGCGAAGGCGTGGACGGGCCCGTCCTTGGCGCGGTCGCCCGCGGGGAGGACCACGCAGGCGAGCCAGGCGACGAGCAGGCCGAGGAACGCCGCGGCCTCGCCCGCGACGAGCGTCGACTGGCGCGCGGCGTCGACGACGGCGACGCCCGCGGCGCCCGCGGGCAGGCGGCCGTACCAGGCGAGGCGCCGCCGCGCGAAGGCGTCGTAGGCGCACTCGAGGAGGGGCGCGGGGACGACGCGGCCGGCCGCGGCGACGCGCGCGTACGGGAAGTGCATAAAGTCGCCGAGCGCGAGCACGGCCGCGGCGCCCGCGAGGACCCGGGGCCGGCCGCCGGGCGTCGCGTCGACGACGTGGACGCGCTCGAGGAGCGCGCCGGGGGGTGGGGGCGGCCCCGCGGCCGCGACGGCCGCGGCCGCCGCGGCCGCCGCGCCGTCGCCGCGCGAGGCCTCGGCGTCGCCGAGCGCGGCCGCGACGCGCTGCGCGGGCACGAAGGAGAGGCCGCACCCGGGGCCGGCGACGACGGTCCGGTGGAGCACGTGCGCCCGGAGCGCGGAGCAGACGGCGCACTCGCCGTCGATGAGCACGACGAGCGACCGGTCGCTCTTTTCCGGGCGCGTCGCACAGCCGTAGAGGAGCGGGTAGGCGGCGACGCGCAGGACCTCGGCGGCGGCGACCACGGCCCCGAGGCCGAGGGAGACGACGCCCATGAGCACGTCGTCGAGCATTTTTGTAGTGAGGGGTGGGTCGTCTGACGACTCTCAGGGGCTCGCCAAGCGCTCGACAAAAATTTCCACAGGCGTCTCGACGAATATCCACGGCGCCCGAGCCGGCGCGCGCGGCGGCGTGACCGACAGCTGTGGGGATGGAGGAAGTCGCGGCCTGGCGCGAGGTCGAAGCGGGAACGCGGCATACCGTGAAGACGGCGATGGAGCGGCACGCTATTTTGACTCACAATTCTTTCACGGGCCTGCCGAGCGAGATCGCGCGGCAACCGAAGATCGGCCCCGGTGCTAGTGGCCGCGCCCGCGACGTCAAGACCTACCTCGCCGCCGACGTCGACGCGCTCGTCGCGCGCCTCGCCGCGCGCCCGCGGAACCGGTCGGTCGACCCGCGCTGGCACGAGGTCGAGGCGGGAACGCGGCATACCTACAAGACGGCGATGGATCTGTATCCGCAGCTGCACAGGCGTTCTCTCGACAACCTGCCGAGCGAGATCGCCGTGAAGCCGGATTTGCAACAAGGCGCGCGCGACGTCAAGACCTACCTCGCCGCCGACGTCAACGCGCTCGTCGCGCGCCTCGCCGCGCCGGAGCCTGAACCGGTCGACCCGCGCTGGCGCGAGGTCGAAGCGGGCGCGCGTTACGACCAGAGGACGGCCCTGAAGCGCTATCCGCAGCTGCACCCACATCTCCTCGCGGACCTCCCCTTCGAGATCGCGCGTCGGCCGAAGATCCCCAAATGCCCATACGCCATCGACGTCAAGACTTACGCCGCCGCCGACGTCGAGGCGCTCGCCGCGTCGCGAGCCAAGAAGCGCGCGCGCGTCCAGGAGCCCGAGCCGCCCCAGGAGCCCGAGCCCGAGCAGGAGGAGCCCGAGGAGTGCCCCGTCTGCCTCGACCCGATGACGGGCGCCACCGCGACGCTCGTCTGCGGCCACCTCTTCTGCAAGGACTGCAGCACGGACTGGGCGAGCACCCAGGCGACGTGCCCGACGTGCCGCGCGCCGCTCCAGGTCGCTCCTTAGACGTGCCGCGCTCCGGATCGTCTAAGCCCATACTTGTACAAAACCACGTCCCTCTTGACCGCCAGAAGTTTTTACCCCGACGCCCATCTTCGTGTGGTACTGGTGCTTCGAACGCGCGCTGCGCCGGGCGATCCAAACGCCCGGCAACGGCACCAGGCGAGGCACTGGAGCCACTACACGAGCGCCCCAACGCACGCGCCTCCCCGAGCCAGCCGCTTACGACCGCGTCGCGCGCGCCGGCGCGGCGGGCACTCCCCCCGCTCACGGCTGGTTTGGGTTGTGCCGCCGGAGCCGCTCCCTGATCGTCGACTGGCACGAGTTCGGCAGCGGGTCGAAGAAGGGCCGCGACCTGCGGGCGCGGTCTCCGGGGGGGAGCGCCGGGGGCGGCGGGACGCGGCGCCGCGCGTCGTCGACTGGCCGAAGTTGCACCGGGGATACTGCTCGAAGGTGAACTTGCTCTGGATGTCGGACGTGTTGAAGTTCGCCGAGCTCGGCCAGTCCTGCTGCTTCGCGCGGTGCTGGTTGAGGCGCGTGACCTGGCGCGCGGCGGCGCTATCGCGCGGCGGCGCGCTCCCGTCGACGTCGGAAGAGGTCGGCCCACCGCTCGGCGCGCGCGCGCGCGCGCGTCGACGCGCGCCCGGCGCCGGCGGCGCGCCTGCTTGTCGTTCCACGTCGCGCGCAGGCCGAAGAACTGGTTCCGCACGCGTTTCTTTGACGAGAGCTGCGGGGGACGCGTGAGCGGCGGAAGACGACGCGAACGGGTGTCGCACCAGCTCCGGCGTCATGTGGAGGTAGTTGTACCGCGCGGGGCCCGGCGAGAAGTGGCCCGCGTCGCGCGTCCGCGGCTTGCAGAGCGACTGGCCGAAGTCGCTGCCCGCGGGGCCATAGAAGCTGAACTCGCCCGCGCTCTTGTGCCGCGCCTCGACCTGCTTCCGCAGCGAGCTCGGGTGCGGCCGCAGGTTCTCCACGAGGCTGCCCAGCGAGTCCGTCATGCCCGCGCCGGAGGTTTCGTCTTCAGCAGCGCTAATGGGAGAGCGAGGGGCAGCATCGCCATAGTGCCGGGGTGGTGCACTGGATACTACCCGCAAAGCCGACTTCAAAGCCGCATGGACATTTGAGGCCCGCCTCTCGTCGCACGTTCGACGCGCGTATCCGCCCCGCGGCTCCCCGGAAGTCCCCCCTGGAGGTGGTTCCGAGGCCTCTAGCCGTCGCCCCCGCGGGGGGAGGGGGGGGTGCGGGC